TTGAATACCGACAGTGAGAACATGGCCTATCGATCCTTTAGCAGCTGACCATCTCAAGTCGCAAGTTCAACACATCTAAACGCCCGGCTGCGAACCAGACAACTCTACAAACCTGACAATGCCACCTCACTGGTGTTGTGGCAGATGACCCGCCACCGCAGGGGGTTGCAACTTGGCTTTTCTAGCTGTTAAGAATCGATTTTGCATGCCAGGCTGACTGAGAGCCCCAGTGTGGGGCAACCTTTCCCGATCGAGCTGGAGTGCGCCCGCGAGTGTGATGTAAAATCAATAGAAAATGTCTAGAATACTATATATGCTAAAGACACTAGATGTTCCAAATAGCGATGACCAGCCAGGTACGCATTGTGGGCGGGTCAAGCACCTCCCTACCAGCTTGTTTGTCAACTTCCTCCTCCGTTGCAACAGCAGCCGCAGCAAGCTGTCAACAGACGATTTATCGTCTTCAAGCTTTCCATCTTCTACAACAGCCTCCTCCTCATCATCATCAGCAACAGCAGCAGCCTCAGCAACAGCACTTGCAGGAATTGACGCAAGTACGGCCTGCGGAGCAGCAATCACAACTACCGCAGCAGCAAGTCCAACAGCAGTGTCAGGCGCGGGACAATGGTTCTGGTACGCCACATGTGCTAGAGTGCCCTGGCATATTCCTACACAATCCGTCTACGTTTCCTAGAATCCCGTCGTAATCCCAACAGGAAAGCGCATCGCTTTTGGCAAGCCCCCGCCGCATCATTGCGGCAGGTGGAGGAAATGAGCACTGGAGTGCGGGAGCGTCAGCAGGCCGCGCCTAAACCATAAAACCCTAAAGCTCTAAAGCCTAAACTCTAAATCCCTAAACCCTAGAACCCTACAACCCTCAAGCCCTAAAATCCAAAACCCAACCTTTGCACTTGTTTAATTAATGTGGGTGTTTTTGGGGCGTAGGGCTTGCTGTCATCCCTGCTGGCCCTTGCTTTGGGATCCCAATAGGAATTACGAGTGTGTGTGTGTGCGACACACCTCAGCATGGCCGGGACGGATCGGTGCCGATGAAAAGTTGCGCTGGGGCGGTGAACTGCATGTACAACTGGTCAAGACGCGTCTTGTTTCAAGAAGTGCCGTTGTTGAAAAAATCGAAGCAGTCGTTTAGCTAGCCCTAGTGCATCCTGTTCACAGCAGGATGAAGAGTTTCGTGCACCCGAATGTGGGGCATGCTTCAGCAAGGAGCTTTATCCGCCGCCCGCAGATGGAAGCCTCTAACATATCAAGCTTCAATCAGCATAAGGCATGACGGTAATAATTGCGTAGCAGATCTGGGTACAGTGGCGAAAAGCAGCATGCTAATCGTTGTTACTTATGTCACCCTCATAGTAGAAGAAATCTGAATCATTGTAACCATCTCAGTCACAGAAGTGTTAACTCAAAACCACCTGGATAGTACATTTTTTGAGCAAGTGGTAAGCATATTAGATGTAGCGACGCAGGCTGGCAACTCGCAGCTATTAGTACCCATTTTCTCGTCTGCTGCGGGGTATGTGTTGGAACCCGGCCAGCCTCGCAATGGTGCTCTGAGCTTTTGTCTGCCGATGCAAGAGGCAGGGCATAGCCTTGTTAAGGGACCCCGAACAGTGGACAAAGCGGTCTTTCTTGTAGCTTAGTATAGTTCGTGATATAGTCCTTAATAAAGAACCCATGTCCATTAAACTATGTAGGAAACAATGACTGCAACTCACATCTGGTTTTGTAAGAAGAGGACGGTGCCTTTGGCCCTGTTTGCAAATGGGCTTCGGAAACTTTATTTTTTAAGACATGGGCTATGCACAGCGCTGAAGCGTGATTGTCAATGCTTTGGCAGGAGGATGAAGCGGTTGCAGAGCTTCTGGGATCAGAAGTGCCATATGAGGCCACGGCTGGAATCCTCAAGTTGGACTTTTGGACTGAGGTGTCGTGAAAGTACTTGGATTAACAAGCTTTTATTTGCGAGGTCCAGCTGGCCTCTACATTGCTGCCCCGCATTGGGACGCCCTCCCTGCACAGCCACCTCTATCAGTGGAACAAGCAGCTGCAAGGCATCGTGCCCGCGGGATCCATTCGCAAAAGCTACGTACACATGCCGATGTCCGCAAATGAGTGCAAAACCATTACCACCTTGTTCAGCCTACAGTAGCCTGCGATCTTTGAATTTACAGTTGCGGAAGTTGGACACACTCGATTGTTCTGTGCCGGCGAAGCTCCGCAGCAGCTGCAGCTGCTACATGTTTAGAGGCCTATGCCTCAGGGCATGTTTGCACGCATGTGCTGCCCATGCATGATTGCACTGAAGATTATAAGAAAGGCTGCTCCTAGAACGACTGGTCAGGCTCGCGAGGGCAGACTCCATGCAGCCAGCCGGGCCTGACACTCATCAAAACCCACTTGTTTTGATTCGTACTTGAAGTTGTCATGAGGGCCAACGCATACAGTTTGACCTTTGATGCTTCATGTCGCGCAACTTGACGCTTGCGGCCTCAGATCTGCAGGGCACAGCACCCTCCAACAAAAAAAAGTCAATTAGGGTCGCAACTACGAACGAATGTGGGATTTGCAAGGTGTGCTTCCGAATCCCAATGTTTGCAGTTTTCGTTCTGCATTGACTACTGATGCATGTTTCAGGTTGGGATATGTTGGGATTCCCGAGCTGACAGCTGTAGAGTCTGGCAGGCAGATAATTACATTGCTTCTTCTCAAGAACCCAGGACAGTGCATGGGAACTGAACAAGTGGACCAGGCTCAGAGCTTCGTTCTACTCTGTCCTCATCACTGTCCTCTCTCAGGCCCCGTGTTTGCAGGAGAGGTTGGAAAGCAGCAGCACGGTACAAGGGCTGCAAATGGGCCTCTTCATCTTGGAGTTCATTGCAAATCACTCTTCTCATTAACTCTATCGCGCATTCATGATCCCCTGGAATCGAGTTATTGCGACTCACATTACGGAGGCTGTCGTGACGACACGCCACTTAGAATTGTGCATACTGTTGATTTCTGGGGCATTGGATTGCACTGTGGTTCAAAGCGGCTAGCGCTGCCAATGAGGGTACCACAGTACTATCAGTGTCATTTGTGACAAGGGAGTTTGATACTCGCAGAGCCGCATGCGATCTCTCCTGCTCATGTGCTGGAAGCTGTAAAAGAGATTCGGCAGGCCCCACCTCATCAGTCGAGAGAGGCCGCTGCGGCCTCGCGTCATTCTGCAGCAGTCTCCGTGAGATCGATGCACAAACATAAAAAACTGCCAAGATTGAAGTTTTGGCTTAGCAAGCTGGTTTCAGTTGCAAAATGGATCTCGAAGCTGAGACCACAACCCCGAAGGCTGGTCTGGAGCTTTCATAGCACACAGAGACTCCGTGAAGCTTTTTGTTTTGACTTTGTTGTGGATTTGGGGCTACCCGAAGAACCAGGAAGTCCAGTCAAGGAGGGGCTATGCGAGGAACAGCAATGTCGCTATCATGTAGCAACACCCGGCGTCCCCATACTCTATACCTGCGGAGCCCTTTATATGCTAGCCCAAATCGACTTGGTAGTTTCCCAAAACAGGGGGACCCCAATGCAGACCCCAAAATACTACAATCCTTATTATAGGGACCCCCAAAAAGGTACCCCTAATTTTGGGAAACCCCCACTTATTTACCTGCACCAGCCTCATCTTGCATCCGGTACAGGCCTCCCACGACGGGCCCTCCTCTGGACCGCAAATCAGCCATTCAGGCACCCAGTGGGGTCTGGAAGTTGGTTGAGGATTTCAGGGCTTCAGCTGCAGTTCAAAAACACCCCTCCTACGGAATCCGTCTGTGGTCCATGAACTCCATGCTGCTGGTTAGCTTGTCTAGGAGATCAAGAGTTCATCCTTTGCTGAGACTTGCTAATCTCAACAGATCCCTGGCCCGCACTGTGTTGTAGCTTCCATCGGCTAGAAGTCAACGCAACAGATCTGGTGCGCACAAGGAGGAAACGTGCACTCTGCGGCAGCAAAACTTTGGAAAACAACAATCGTTGCCGTTTTCCTCTTCTTCTTCTTTTGCTATGTAGGCTGTTTGGTAACATGAGCTTCCTTCCAAGAGGAGCCTGTGAAGCATGGATGCTTAGCTAGAACCGGAGCTTTAGCATTTGACATGCTTTTCTTGGTGGAACATGCTGTTTCTGCTGCAGTGTAAGATGCTGTTACTGTTCTTTCCACAGACAGTCAGGAAACAAGAATCGTCACATTCCATGTCAGTGATTGTGAACCACAGGCTGCAAACATTTGGACTAGTTTTGCCCCGAAATCCAAACACCCTAGCCATAGCCATCAAACCTCAGCGCATTGCACAACAGTACCAGCAACTGTTGTGGCGAAGCATTGAAAACCCTTTGCATGCACTTGTTCAGGCCTCGAGGCCGTATTCGGTGATCCAGGACACGGTCAGGCCTGCGCGCCTCAAAGTGAAGTGGTCTCTGTGGGAACTTTGGGGTGTGTGTGGATCCTGCGGATTGCACGTGTACGATGTTTGGTCGCTGTGGGCTTCTGCATTGAGCATCATTTGCAACTAGCTTGATTCTTGGCTCCATGTTTTGCCAACAGATTTTTCATGCCTTTAAAGACCCAAGACTGAAACGAGTTGCCGGTCTTTGCTTTGAGACTTGATCAGTGCGCGGGCTGATGCTGCAGCCGGTCGTGATCAACTTCTTGGTAGTTAGTGCGGGACGTTTTTCCTCCTAGATAGCCTCACGAACCATGACTCCTTTCTGCAGCAGTAACTTCGGGGGGGGGGGCCTATGAAGGCCTGTCAATTATACGTCGCAGTAGCCTCTCCCCGGTGTATGCTGTCATTCTAACAACAAGTCTCCCAACGATTGAGACTGGCAATGCCAACAAACACGTTAAAGAATCCGGACGTTCCGGACATTGCACTTGCAGCCTGCTGACTCTGAATCATTTGGAATTAGTTCTGGCAGTCGCCATTCAATTTTCTTGGTTTCAACCTGCCATGGCAAAAACGGCGCCTGACGCAAAGAACAGGCCTGCCGGCAATGCTGGCAATGCTGGACAAGCTGGCAAGCCGCAGGTGCGGTTTGTCCCAGAAGCTTCGCAGAGCAAGGCTGCGGACCAGGAGCTACAGGACTACAACCAGAAACTCAGTGACATCTCAGAAAGGCTTTGCAAGGGAGTGGAGTCCAAGGATGAGAGGGCTGTCCAATGGGCAAGGCTGCTCGACACAGCTTTGAATTTCAAGCTGCCCTGGAGGGACAGGGAAGTGCGCCTGCGTGTGCTGTACCACTGCCTTTACGGCTTACCCGACTCGAAGGCTCTACCTAGTGTGCCGACGGCCCTGCTCTCTCAGCGATATTCAGAGGAAGCGGAGAACCGCGTCGAGGCAAACGTCGATACTCTGCGCATTTCGCTGCCAGAGGCTTTGCGACAGCTGTCGACACAGAGGCATCCTGGCGCCTACTTCCTCCTCACCTGTCACTTGGGTAAGGAACGCCTACCCGCCTGCCAGGGATTCCCGTGGCTCACCTTCGGGGTGCTCTTGATCCTGCTGGGAGTGTCCTGGCTGCAGCTTGGCACAGCTTCTCTAGCTGTTCAAAGTTGATGCCACTTGAGTTGAGCCCGCCTCGTGTGATGCAACCTCGAAAGACAGGCTCTCTAACCCCTTGCTACACTGCGTCACGGCATCTAAGATTCTTTGCGGCCCGGGCCGTCAAGCTCCGGTGGCCCTGCCTGCGCAGGGCTGGGCGGAGGCTGCAGCTTTTGAGCCGCTGCAAGGCCTCTTGGCTGGGGATGGTTTAGGGCTCAGGGTTTAGGGTTTTAGGGTTTTAAGATTCAGGGTTTAGGGTTGTGGGTTGTGGATTCAGGGTTTAGGGTTTAGGGTTCTGAGGGTGTTCTTGATGAGCATGTGATTGTCAGGTCCTATGTTTTGTTGGACGATCTGTGAATGAGCTCCTCAATTCTTCGTATACACGGCTGAATTTTGCGATCCTGTCATAGGCCTGGTTTGCCCCCAACTCCGACTGCCTGTTGCAAAGTTCTCAGTTGGATTATCCCGTGGTCCCCCCAACAGGCATCACTTTGCCTTGACGAAGACTGATAAGCCCGATTGACTCCCTTCATGGGAAGCCGTGCAAGAACGTGACGTCTGTTCTGATGCATGTTTTCAGCTTTGTTTGTCTTCAAGTCAAGTTTTTTGTGATAAGAGACTTAAAAGACTGCCGTATCCAGCTTGCGGTTGTCTACCCGCAACGTGCGCATCGGGTTATGTGGATTGTGGTGTCCCTGGCCCATATTTTGAAGTCTGTATTCGAACTGAGCGATGGAGCTCATCGTGCTTGTCTGTTTGTGGTGTCTCTCGCGGCAATGGTGCTTGTCTGACATGCTTGTCATTTGTGTTTCTATGCGTCTCTGTACCAGTACTTCCGCGACAGTGTTGTAGCCCTTGAGCATCGAGATTTTCGGGTCTTTGGTGTAGATGACACCTACCGGAACCCCACATTTGCTGCAGGTGCTGCGCGGACAGCCCCGCGGCTGCCAAAGGGTTTAGATTTTTGCCACAGCAGGCGTCGGAGTGAATGAGATCTCCTTACAGTGCTTGTGCTCCGCAGAGATTCCTGCACAGATGTAGGTCCAGAGGCTCGCGTTGCTGACTGCTGCTCCAGAATACAGGAAGGATTCAGTCATATAGGTTCACTTACTCTGCAAGTGGTGTCAACAGCAGTGAAGCCCACAGGCATCCCTAAGATATGTATGCGCTCGTGAATCATGAAAAGAACCTTTACAACCCTCGAGAGCTTTGGACAGCCATTGAGAAGTCAAATGCCACGGTGGATGAGTCCACATTTCAGGGGAGCAAGCAGGAAAGCTCTAAGTTGCACCTGAGGCCGCAGTCACTCCAATGCTTGTTGGTGCAGCGCTGCTCGCCACTTGGATGCACGTAGCTTGGCTCTGCCCATAAACGGGCCAATCTCTTTCTTGTTTTGCAGGCTGTGCTGGTTGTGCTGTCGGATTCGTGAAGCATCCCAGAGACTAGCCATTGGTACTGTGTATTGCAGGCCTCAGAAATTACGGAAACTGCCTGAGCGCATAAAGACAAGAGCCACTCTGCGGGACGATCTGGCCAAGGTTAGATTCTGGGGAGTAACGGAGAATCAAATGGGAACAGAAATGGACAATGAAATGGGGCTCGGGTCATGAAAGAGCATACGCTTAGGGGAATGGAAAGGACAATGGAAACTACAATATTATCATGTAAGGTTTAGGGTCTAGCCAATTTAAGCAGACAATTCCACGGAAGCCTACAACTACCGCTTCAGAGGTGACCCTGCGCAGAGTCACATCCAGCCGGATGCAGGCTGTCTTCAGGGCTCGGCAGACCTTTTGGTAGGTTTTGGCTATGTGAGGCACAATCTAAACTCCTCAAAGGGGGGCTAGGTAGGGATTATGTGGGAGAGTAGTATAGGGGCGAAAAGGGGGATACAGTATAGGAGGTTAGACTATGGCTCATGTCATGGGTATTGGCTTTGCGCAGAGTTGCAATGCCTGACTGATTGGGAAGTTGTACCTTAGGCTTATCTCCAAATTATTGTAACGACTGGTTTGTATTTGGTGCGCCTGTTTTTTATGGTCTATTATTTTCCAGCAGTCTGACGTCAATAGCGTTTTGCTGGCTCATTCATGACGAAGCTTTAGGATCAGGGCCTTCCAGATGTCATGTGGGAGTTTTGACTTTGAATGGTTCCAAGATGCTTTCATGTCGTCCTCGGGCTCGTCGTCGATTTTTCACTGCTTATTCTCCTGCAGAGTTTGAATACTGTTCAAGATGCAGCCCTCCCTTCGATTCCAAGGATTCGAGATTGGGCTGGGGATTGAAGGTGTGCACTTGACAGGATTGCGATTTGCTCCCTATCCTCGAAGCCTGCCAGCAATGTCCGGGAAGCTTGGAACAAGCCTGTTGCAGTTGTGATTTCTTACGCATGTTTGAAAGCAGGATTGGAGCCTTCTCTTGTGCCTGGGAATGGTGAGCCTTGGTGCAGCCAACAGCAGCTCGGATGCGAGGCAAAGCTTTGCCAGCAGGGTATACGTGAATTTGTTGCAACATGACACTGCGCGACGCCTCTCCTGTGCATGGGTATGTGGCATGATGTGCAGTGCTCAGGTGATGTGCGCCTGGAGCGCAGAGATGCGAATTTCTCGGCAGGCTGCCTGCCCATCTGTGACACCCAGGAGCTGAAAGATGTATTCCTTACCCCTTTCAAGGGTTCCCAAAATCTATGCTGTGTTTTGGGGAAATAAAACCACCTCGTCCATGCGCAATGCAGGGCACTCGGCCATCCCCCTTGGCTCAATGGATGCGCCCTCGTGTTCCCAAAGACAATAGCCTTGCACCCTTCAGGACACGGGGCGGGCTCCAGCCAGCCTCAACGTTGCCTTCGCCCTACAGCCGAGTACCATGCGCCTTGGCCTGTGAAGGGGCATGGACCTCCAGGATTCTGAAGACTTGGAGTCCAGCAACATGTGGAGGCTCGCAAAATTTCCAAAATCAATGTAGATGAGAATCTGGCTGTAAGGTGCGCTGGGTGTCAGTCATGTCTTTGCAAGGCGGTTCTGTTCGTTGAAGACCCACACGTGCTGTATGGGGATTATTTGTGGATATCGGTCTGCAGAGGTTCATTTTTCGCTGTGCTTCTTGGTCGAAGGCCGTATCCATGCCTCCTTGTTGTGATCGGGGCCCTTGCTTGCTTTCATCGTTCTGCTTTGTTGAGCTACAATCCTTTGCCACAAGCAGTTTCCAGGGTCTAGCCGTAATGCTTCAAGTCGAGCCTGCTCTGGCTGTTATTCCCCGATCTGTGGTACTCAGCCTGCCTGAACCTGCAAGCTACAGGTGCTTCCGGACGCAGGTCACCAACGGAACATCGGCCACTGTCTTGGGGAGTAGGCGGTGACGCATCTGGCAGCGCCCTGCTTCACTTGCGAGCTTTTTTCCGTGTTGTGAAGATTTTGGAGAAAGCCTCCAGCAAAGGCCTGCGGGCGACGGTCAGACTTTCAATAGCTGAAGTGTTCTTTGAATTCGCACTGGTCCCCAGGTCACATTCTGCAATAAAAGCAGTGCCGCTTTTATGCTTCTGCCTCACAAGCAGTCGTCTCACTTGATGCGCAGCCAGATCCGGCAAAAGCGCGAATCTGAGAATCACAAAAGCTAGACCCGGAGATGCGTTGCCTCATCGTAATTGTTTGACCTGTTCACCTGCTGAAGCATTGAAGCCCCACCCAACGGAAACGCACACATCCAGTAACGGATACAATTGTGCATCTGGTCCCTGCCAGCCCAAGCGACTGTGGATTGCTTTTAAGAACCCTTTTCAGAGCGGAACCAACACCTCCACGAGAGCTGGCAGACCCGCAGCAGCGAAGCCTAGCGGAACCCTATGCCAAAGACTCGTGAAAAAACCGCAGCTCAATTCAGAAAACTGGAGCCCTTCCCTTTTGTAGCCTTTTTATGGGAACATGGGATCTGCTGCTCTGCACAGGGTCCAGCGTCGCGGTCTTGGCACGGAGGCTTGGAAGGGGTGGTAGAGGAGATTCCGTTGCTCAAGGTTACGGTGTCTTCCTTCAGAGCAGTTTCAAAGCTACCTTCCATAGAGACAGTCTAGGCTTGCTGGTCCTACAAGGATGAAGCATGTTACATCCTTTGAGGCTTGCCCGCAAGGATGTTAGCGCTCATGTAGGTTACAGCAGACAAGGCTCCAGGCGTGCTGTGTATGAGCGTCATGAATCAAAGTGCCAGACTATCTATCTGTCTACAGGAAGCTTCTCAGTTCATATCAGAGCTCAAGTTTACATACCTGAGGATCTTCTACCAAACATCTTCTGCTCATAGTACCCAGTCGCCTGAACAACTGAAATGAAAACTTCGTTTGTTGTCTTTGTTACTTCAGCTCATCTATCCGATTGCATGGTCATCATCGCAGAGTTGTATGTCAGGACATGGAGAAATGAATAAATTTGCTCTTCGATGTATGTAGCAGTCTCATCTTTTGATTGGCACGTCTTGTTGTTGCGAGCACAGGTGGTGCAGATTCCACAGAGCTTGCAAGTACATCGCAGGCACCTGCAGTCTTGTTTCCAGGGTTGGGCATGCTGCCTGTACAAGGTTGACTGGAGTGGTAGGCACGAACCTAGTGCATGAAGGAGCTTTTTCTAGGGGCTGGGTGGCCCTCAGAAAGTTCTGCCTGTGAGATTTGGTGATGGCATCTATTTGTGGTAATTAAAGCCAAGAGATCCTGCAACACACTTGTGGTTCGACTAGGATGAAAGAGTCTACGTGCAGGGCATCTAACAAAGCACCTGCTGACAAGTTCGCCTAAATTTCAAGCCTGAGAACCTTCACATCCATTAGGTGGCAAAGGTCCTAAGTGGACGTGATAGCTGCAGCATTTGTTCTGAGTCAGCTAGTCACGGCTGTATAATTTTGCTGGTGTCGCTCTCCTAGATTCAATTGTACCGCATTTTTGTTTACGACCTACGAGGAGGGAGGAGGGTGGTGGTCAGGAGCGGCACGGCTGCAAGGGCCACGTCGCGTGGCAAACACGAATGAAGCTTGTTGATAGTCTCATCTCTGCTTCTGTTGTCAGGGCTTGCTGCAACGACAGCCATGCAATGAGTACACTTTTTTTTTCCAAATGCGCACTTTGTGATACGCGCCGACTCCGAATTTGCGGGACTTCCCACGAAGTCCATTGCAAGATATTGCAAGGCTTCGCCCCCTTTGCCTCCTTTAGCATTGCAGGGTGCATGGCATGGACGTCCAGCAGAGCGGGACCATTTGCGCGGCGCTTGGTAGACCTGCAGCCTGCAGCGCCTCATCCTGCACCTCTCAATCCATGAACATCCCAAGTGCATGAATTCAACATCGGCTGGCTTGTAGGCTCTGAACCTGTCTTTGTCTGGGTAGCCCAGGATCCTGGCTTGTAGACCTTGGCCCAAAATCCGAGTCCAAAGAAGTCTCAGGGCATCACTGTGTGAGCAATGCGTGGTCTTCTTGAGCCTGACATTCCATGCTCGTTGTTCAAGACTTGCAATCCATCCCTTCATGCCCGTCACCGGACTTTCAAATTGCAAAACAGCCCCTGATTCCGTTCAGATGGTCACTCAAGATCTGAAGCGCATGAGGCTGCGCCATGATCGATGCAGGCAAGAACAAGGACGTGTGGCTGTGCTTTGGACATGTCCCACATCCCTTTACTCCGATGTCTTGTGGGTGCCGGCGCTATGGACTGTAGATCCTGAAATCCTGCAACTCAACAAACAAACTTTGCCCTTTGAATTGAATAGATGCAGCTGTTGCGAGGATCTCAAGATCGAGCGCTTGGCATCCCAGTTGTTGGCATGCCCATATTTGATACAGAGGGCCAGTAGGTTTTGGTTGCTTACAGGGTGGTGGCCACAACAAGTCGGTTGTACAAGTCTTACCAGATGGGTAGTTGAAGCTGGTTCAAGGCAATGGCATCATGCTGGCTGGTGACTGCATTCTACTGTGCTTCCTGATTCGGACCTGCATGTTGGAGTCCATGGCCACAATCTTCCAGCACCCCACGAGTTTTCCAGGCCTATAGACCTCCGTACTCCGCAACTCAAGGATCAAGCTCATGTTTGCAAGATCCTTCCAGGCCTTGTGGACATGAGGCTAGCAAAACTACGTACATCATGCTTCGTGAGATCCCATGCAGGAGGATTCACCATGACACATGATGCTGCCATCGCCTTCTGAAGCTCTGCAGCCTCATGTAAATCTTCGGGAAGCTTTGGGAGCATAAGGCAAGGTCATTGATGAGGCGGATGCTGAGGACGAAGCTGAGAAGCTCAAGGGGCTCCTTGTCTGCGATATCGGCAGGCGCTACAGCAGAAGCAAAAAGTTGAAACATGGAAGTCAAATGAACTGAGCCATTTCCCACTCCAAGCTTTTGTGTTGGGAGCGGTTATGTTTGAAACTTTCAAGCTTCTAGGGTAGGGTTATGGGACTGGGTTCAGTGAAGCACTTCCAAAATTCCGTTGCCAGTGGAGGATACTACAGGGCAAGTGGAAGTCGTAGACTTCTGCGGATCGTGATGCTTCGGGGTTGATCCTCCAACAGGCTAGTTGACCCATTTTTTTGTGAAAGCCCGAATCCAACTATGTCAGGTTAAAAGTTTGGCAGTGGCAAGGAATGACACTCGAATACTCCCTTTTTGGACACTCCAGGCTTGTGGATGCAGTTCGGCATCATGCTACTGGTCAAGGCCCGTAGGGTTTAGGGTTTAGGGTAGCATGGCTCAAAGATTACAATCGCAGTATTCATTTCTTGTTCCATTGGTTCTACCATGTGATTCTAGATTCTAGAGCCCAAAACAATCCCAATCTAATTCCAATACATACCCTATACGTTGCCTATGTAAGCACTAAATAGCCCTGTGTATATCTATTCTCTTTTCATCCCTTTCCACTACCCTACATACATGGCAGTTTCCCCGAATAACTGGACCCCAATATAGATCACCAACTACTTTAATCCTCATTGTTGAGACCTCCACAAAGGTACCCCCCAATTTTGCGAAACCCCCATATATACCTTATATAACGGCACATCAAAGTTCAGCTTGTCAGCTAGCTCAGGACTAATCCTGACAGACGGTGAAGACCGCCACAGAATTTCAATGGGTATATATATAGGGGTCGTATGGAATTATGTAGTAAACATGGAAAAGGAAATAGAAGCTACTATTTAGGGTTCAGAGTTTGTTTTTTTTAGGGATACTGTCTCCCCAGAATGTAAAATCAAATGGACAGTAAGATGACACATGAGATGGAAAGTTGGATTATAGCAGGCATGGACATTAGGTTGGGACTGTGGAGGGCTAAGATGCTCATGGGGTCGATTGGCCAGGTCTGACTCAACTCTGCCGGTGGCAGCAAGCAAGCTAATAACAACAAAGGATCAGAAAACAAATCGTGCTTGCGCCTGCTTGCAACTCCTACGTCTCCGTGTTGCCCACATGAGGCTGAAAAAGCAAGAGCTACTGGCTGTCCCAACATGTGCCGCAGCTCTGCAGGAATCTCTGGAAGACACGACAAGGAGGCAAGCGTCTGCCTTGGGCAAAGAATCCTTGCACACTCGCGCATCTTGCCGATTGTTGAGAGGGATTCTCAGTGGGTGAGACACGTAAGTTGCACAAAGGCCCTAAGAAAGCGATGTCATGAATCGTTTCTCTGCGGGAGGACCACGGGAATGCTTACCTGCCAGGATCTGGAGTGGAGCAGCAAGGTGGAGCAGCTTCTGCGCATCTTAGCTCAACTCATCGGCCTGCGAAGCTCGTGTCAAACCCGGCTGCTTCCAATGGTCTGGAGAACAGCATCTTGAGCAGATCGCGCAAGTACAGAGGACGGAGCTCCGTAGAAACCCAAACCTCGAAGTCTCCCCCCTCGCAAACAGCTCGACCCGCAGCTTGACCTGCAGCTCGACCTGTGCGACGTAGCAAATATGACTGGATGTCTGGAACAGCACTTTCTGAAGTGTGCCCCTGAAACTCCAACGTAGTAGCAGTAGCAGCACCGACATTTAGGAGCAGGAGCAGCTGCAGGGAAGAGCTGAAGGAATAGCAGCTTGACAGCGACATCCGTAGCGATGGTGATTACGCTTGCCATTTCCCCAATCCTTGAAAGATCTCTGAAACCCAGGGAGCTACGACTTCTTCAAGCCACTGGAGGCCTGGAAGCTAAGTTTTCCAAGAGGCTGGCTGCCATTCTGCAGCCCTCCAGCCCTTCAATCTGGGCCCCGATGTCAACTTCCAAAACCTAGACAGACCTTGAGCCTTAAGCATTGTTGCACAAACTTGCCGGGTATGATCCAAGACTGGATCACCTTGGCATTTCAGCATATTTATCTTCCCCATGCAATTAATCAACTCTG